GGCGGGGCCCGCGGCCGCGGGACGCACCTCCTTGCAGGCCGCAGAGCGTCGCGATGCCCAGCTGCTGGAAGCGGACCTCGGGGTGGGAAAGGAAATTCCGCAGGTAGGCCTGGGTCTCCGCGATGTGACACCTCAACAAGCGCATCGTCTTTTCTGCGTAAACAGGAGAACCGCTGGTGATAATGGGAACCTTGAAAGCGCTGCTACAGCTGGCCCTTGTACCAGCCCTGGGATCGTTCACGTCTCGGCTACTCCAGTTGCAGCCAGCCTTACTGCAGAGAGCAGTGAAGGACTAACGTGCGCCGCAGCCTCCAGCCGCGCTGCGGGTGCTTCAGGCCAGCGACTCGCAGGGCTCCCGCTGACCGGGGACGCTGGTCCTCGCGGGAGGGACGCGCCGACGTACGCGCGCATCGGCCTTCCCTGCTGACACAGGAGGCTGTGGAGGGGCTCTGTTCACCGCCTAGAAGGCTGTTCTGCAGCAGATGCTTGAGGGTAGGGTTGAAACAGGTTTGTTTTCCCTATTGACATCCCTCGCTCTAGGCTTCCATTGCTCTCATTTTCAAGGATTGAAATGTACCTATTTATTGTCTTGCACTTCTTTCATTATCCCTCACCAAAATCTAAAAATTACAGGCTATATTCATAAAGGCTGTTTTATCTTACTGCTTCAGCTAAACTATATGAGAATTAAAACAGTGGTGTTTGGCTTAATAACAACTTTCCCCTTGCCAGTTGGGGAATGAAATTAATCTAAAATTTTGGGACACAACCATCCCTTTGTAATTGTCTTTATGATGTTCAACTTCTGCTGCCACATGCGGGGAATGCCATCCTACTATATATCCAGATAAATTTGGTGAGGGGGTCAAGCAGAAAGATGTAACCATGGCTCTTGTCTGAAATGTCCCATCTTTTCCTCAGTAAGAAGAAAGGTAAGGAATATTTTGCGTTATTCCACCTTTTCACTTAACCTGCTTTTAAGGACCTCAGATTGCCTACAGAATGGCACTGCAGAATGGACAGTGCTTGAAAAGGGTAACAAAACATCTGAATCGGACCTTAGTATCTTATCATTTATGTTTGTCTCTTGGCTTCTCATGCACCGAAATACTGTTTGCTTATGCGTTTCAAAGGCAATTGCGAGGCTTTGTTATTAAATGTGTAGAAAGCACATGGACCATGTGTTAGAAATCTTAAATGTTCTTGGTGCCTGACAGTTAACTCCTTTGGAAAAAGGCTCATTTTACTTCAGATAGTTGCAAGTGTCTTAGAAAGCGAAGTTAATGCAGTGTGACAGTTACCGTGCCCCATCAGGCGCTGGATGATGGAGGCCGCGTGAAAGGCTGGCTCCACACGGTCCCGCTGGCCGGCCAGCCTCACCAGGCACCGCGTCAAGGGCTCGTCCATGCACGGCACCATGTGTCCCGCGGCTCCTTCTGCAGGACACAAGCACAGGGGACGGCCTGTGAGCGAGCTCCAGGCAGGTCTGCCAGGACCCGGGCTGCCTGAACAGGAAACCCTCTGCTCGGCTGGAGAAGCACACAGGTGCTGAGCTGCTGCAGTCAGTATCTGGGGTTGTAAAAACAGGTCGTGTCTTGGGGTTACGCTCTCAACAAGGCAGCATGGATTTGATACACAGAAAGCTCGGTGGATTCTTATCCCTTGGGTTGTGTCTTCCGAGAAGCTGAATCCCTTTGTGTGTGAGAGCTGCCCTGGCACCATGGGCTCAATCTGCCCAGCTGCTGCTGGGCACCTCTCCCAAAATTAAACGCAACGTCACCGGGTGCAGTGTCAGCTAGAGAGAGGAAGCATTTGACAGACAACATCCAACTCCATGGCAACAGGGGAAAATTAACCCTGATCTTCTCTGTGTCATGGGGAAACCTGTACCTTCCATGGCCAGAAATGTGGAGTCTCTTAGTCTCTCTAAAAAGAAAAGGGGGGGGAAAAAAAAGTGATGAATTTAAGGTGAAAAGGCCACATTGTATTTTAGCCTTTTTTCTTTCTAAATTATTTCCTGCCACTGTGAAATTAATTTTGCAGTAGAAACTGAGTGATGGTGCAAATAAAAGTAGACAGACCATGCACAGCTGCAAGGAGCAGCACAAAGAATTTTGAGCAAAAACCCCCAAGGAGTTCAATGGTAAAAAATGAACCAGTGGAGCCTCTACCTCTTGCCAGTGGGTAGGATCTTGCTGTCATTGAAGCTTATTGCAAAACCCCCAAGAGCTTAAAAGGAAAGATCCGGAATATACATCTCCACCCATGCTATCAGGATTAATGAAAGATGTGTGCACTTTCCAGATTAATCCACTTATAGCGAGGTTGCTTCCCTACCTTGCTTTGCCAGCTCAGCAAGGCAGGACGTCACGTAGTGGAGAGAATCTTCTTGAATGTCAGTAGACAGCATGGTCTGGAGGAGACCTTCAACACAGGGGCTCTCGATGATTCTCTGCAACAGGAAAGAGAGTTTCCCGCTGTTGTTGGGGTCCAAGGGCATCCAAAGCACTGAATTAACCCTAACAATGCTGAGGACTCAGACATCAGTAAAGAAAATATTGCCTCTCAGACCTTGTACAGGCAGATGTCAAACACCTCCTCTTCTTAAGAATTTGCCTGTTCTTAGGCATTTCCCAGGGCTTGCCCAATCTGCAGGCTTTTCTCAGGATCTCAGATCACTTTTAGAGCTCAAATAATTTCCTAACCTCTCACTGCCGTGTCAGGTTATATGTTAGGATGAGCTATGTTATGCTGAAGTGAATAACCCTTCCGGACATTCATTGGTTTGGTCATCTTATATTTGCCCCTAGGGCTTTGAAAACTTTCTGACATTGAAATGCTGCGATCTGCAGAAATACAAGGTGATCTTTCACTAGCAAAGGTGACTCCTGTCGCTGGAGACAATTGTTAGGAATTAAACATTTCTGTGGATCCCTCATATTTCAGTTTGAATCTGCTGCACCAAAAACGGTGTTGGACAGCATGTCTCTGCACGGGAGTGTGTATTTTGGACACTATAGCAAGGACACTTATCTTATGCCGTCCTGGATTAGAAGCACATGAGATCCAGGAACAAATCCTGTTACAATAGCAGGTGACTGTTTACAAGGGAAGCTGAATTTTCCAAGCTGTCAGCTCACTAGGAGATTACAGCTCCACAAGGGAGCTCAGATTGCTATAATAAGAAAAAAAAAAAGTTTTGCATTCATTTTATATTGCAAATTTTAACTTCCCGCTTAAAGGCTGAGCCCGGATTCAAGGCTCCTGCCTTTCAAGCTGCCAGTCTGTCTGTATCCTGCTGGCATGAAAACAAATAAGGTTTTATTCTTGTGACAAGGACTCCTACATGTTTTGGGGTCAGTTCCTGAAAACCTGGCACTGGATTCACTTATGCAGTGAGAGCTAATACATTACAAGGCACATTATGAAGCTTTTACAAAGTGGAAGCAGCTCCATGCTAATAACAGAAGAAAGGCATAAAATTGGAGTAATAAATAGGTCCATTTTTTAAAAGCAGTTTTTGAAAGCCAAGAACAATTCTTACTCCTCCTCCAGCCCTTGAGTTCAAGGGAATGCCTTCCCTTGCAACAACTGATTTCACCACTATCAGGAACTCTTGTAATTCTTATCTTTATCAGTAAGAATGCGAAAACCTTGTGATTTAAATATCACATTTCTAATTCCAATTTGAAGCATGCTGAGCATCCCCCATTATTCATTATCACTGAGGTTCATAGATCCATAGTAAAGGTTTCCTTTTGGATAGTTCAAATGTCTTTTATTTGCAGTGGATGCTTTCTTATCTCATGGCAGAAAGGAAAGGGTAATGCAAGCCTAGTCCTTGTCTGCCACAAAACACAACTTTATTTTGTACTGCAGTTTATTGCTTAATCGGATCTAGATATAACTAAATAAAGAGAAGGAGCTGCAGAAATGAGAATCAGCAATGCAAAGAAGGAAGGACAACTAGGTTTCCATGTCTGAAATTGGGTAAGCTGAGGTTGAAAAGGTTGAAAATGTTTCTGACATTTGACACTTCAGAAAAGTAGTCTCTGAGACTAGTAGAAATTTGATCATGGACAGACACACAAAACAAAGGAAAAAGAAAAAGAAAAAAAAAGTAGAAGAAGAAAAAGAAGAAGAAGAAGAAAAAGAAAGAAAGTCCTCCAAATTGTATCCCAGAAGGCAAAGCAAAGGACAACGCAGAGATGAGGATTTTTTTTTTCCTCCAATATTATCAGCTCTACCAGTGGCACCGTTTGATGAAGGTGAGGGAAATGTGTTCCCTCCTAAAAGCAGGAGGAGGACTAAGAGGAATATTCTTAAAGTACAAAGAGAAAGGAAATGCACCTGTAGTTTAGGATTTCATTGGAAGCAAAGTCAGCAACAGAGACATTTATAGCATCTTGCCACAAGTAGTATCTTGCAAAGAGGCAAAATGCACACTAGTAATTAGGCTTATATATAACAAATTGGGAATTAAATTAGATTAGCAAAATATTTCTTCTTTTCATTTTCATATTGTATCAAAAAAATGTCTATGACACATCAGATCATACAGTTTTCTGCAGAATATTAGTACTTGGCATATTGCTCAAAACAAACAAACCCAGCAACAAAACCCATGCAAACAGCTCTTTCTGTGGTTAATGCTGAATTGATATAAATGTATCTGCAACCTCCCAGGGCATGGTTCAGTTATAAAAAAAGGCTACTTACCTGTCTGTTCTTGGAAAGACTCAGGTTTTGGATGATACAAGCAGTATGGCCAGCAATGACAGGGTCCATTCTGTGCACTGCGAGCAGCATCCTCAGGCTCTGCAGCAGCTCTGCACATGTCAGGACATCCTGAGAAGAGCAACCAGCTCCTTAATTTACCTCTGTGACAGAAAACGTTAGCGCACGGCGATACAACTTTGCACCAAACTGTAAGAGGAGTATAGCTTAGCTTATTTAAATGAACAGTAAAGCAGCTGGGTCCAGAGCCCTTCCTCTCGAAACAGGATCTCCTGATGGCACCGATCTACTCTTGCTAGGGAAAGCGGGAGCCTTCAACGGCAGCAGCTTCCTCGTCGCCCGATGGGAAGGAGGCACCGTCAGGACGGGGGCGCCAGGGAAGGGCAGCACCGTGAGGCACTACTGCGTCCTCGGCTACCTCGGCAATCCACCTTGCCCATGGTAACGGCCTGTGCTTCCAGGGCAGTCTGTGCCCGGGCATCTTCATAGCGGGGTGTCCTGAGCACCGTCGTCAGACATTAGGTATGCATCTCTCTGCTTGCTGAAGGGTATCTTAGAGGGGTATCAGCAAATACCTTTCCTCCTGAATGTCATCTGCTCTAATTCCCATTAGTATCAATTGGATCAGACCTCCCCAAGATCTTATCAAGTCTGGATTATAACCCAGGTAGTTTCCTCAGTAACAGCATGGATTCATAGGGGACTACTCTTTACATGAGAAACCTGATCTCAGCAGACTTTCGATTAAGTCTGTAGTTAAGAGCAACAAAAGATTTCCTCTTACATTGGGAGAATTTCTTTTCGTCCATTTTCCCTAGGAATTTTACAAATTTTTTTGTAATTTTTTTGCAATTCTTGTTTATTCGTGTCACCAGAAACTGAGGAACACTAACACTAAATTGTTCAGCATAAAATAAGTCCCCAGTCCTATATGCAGGTTGAGGAAATGGCCTATCTCTGAAGTCTGAGAAATGTCAGGAACACTGATGTGGCACCCAAGGCAGATGTCTTCAAGAATTAGTTTAACTTGGGTCTTGTGTTGGAGTTAAATTGCTAAAGAGTATTTTATTTTCCTATAATACCAGCTGACATCTTCAGTTATGTTCATTTTAAGCACTGTCACAACCAGCAATGATAAAGTAAAACACAAAAAAATAGGCACAGAGGATAGGACTATAGCTAAAGTCCGGGCATTTAAGGAATCCCGTATGCAGATACGTTTGCAAGTTTTCTCTAGCTTTATAAATTTAGACGATGCAATCATAATTACCAGCAATGACTGTTTGGCATGCTTTTAGACTGAGTGTCCTCTTTTCTGTGTAACCCCAATCGACTGTGCTACTCTTATTTGATTTGCTCCAGCCTGAGAAAAGGGAATTGTCTACAGACTGCAAATGAACTTGCCAATACATAACATCTTTCCTGACAAGCTCTTCAATTTATCCAGGACCAACACTGGCAAGTGACAGGCCTCTAAATTCTGCAGAGCCTCTTTTTTGGCTGGTGTGTGGCTGGGACCCAGATTTTGTTTCAGCCCTGTCTGTGCAGGGCTCACACTCAGGAGAGAGCTCTCCAAGTACAAACGGAATGCCTGGTTAAAGGAGGATTGATCCAGCCTCTCCCGGGACTCAGAAAAGGCTGCAAGGGGAAGCATTCCAGCAGCGGTTCTGCTCAAAACAGCAATACTGAGCTTTCAAACCCTTGGCTGAGTGGTGCTGGCCAAAATAAATACGATCTGCTGTCTCCCAGGTAGCAGGACACGGAGGCAGAGCTATTTTGTACCTGGAGCGGGAAGTCTGTGGCGTCGTTTGGAGGGGACCTTCGCTATTCCAATTCCCAGCTCTTTGCTCAAATGGCTGATTTGAAATGCCCTTTTGCACAAAGCCTGAATCTTTCCCTGGCATTTGGGGGTTGGCCTGTCCTTGGGAGAGCTGAATAAAATTCCCCTTGCAAGAGGGCAGCGCTCCAGCTCTTGCTGGGAATTGCAGGCCAGGGCAGGGCATTGCAGGCGGGCGCTTGGGCAGGGAGCAGCAGCCTCGCTTCACGGTGCTGAAAGGGCAGATGAAGTCCGGGGGTATTTGCAGCCATTCGAGCATCGCTTGACTTGGCTGCAAAGGTTAGCTTTGTTTGGGGGTTTGTTTTCCGCCGGCTGTTCCCATGGAGAGGCCCCGCGCTGCCTCGCTTAGCATTCAGCCCGGCTTACAGAAAGGGACCTTGACAGGATGTGAAAGGCGCGGAGGAG